TCATTTATAGGGTTGCCAACCTAAAAGCAATTAACAACATCAAAGTCCAAAAATGGGTGATCAATCCACCAATAATCCTATTTTCCTACTGCTTTCCATTTTACGGAGCATTGTTATCTTTCGTAATGAGTCACACAAAGCCATCTCAGGCTATGACCAAAACATGATATCCTCATTTTAGTCATTATGGCTTTTAGTGAGAGTTCAGACTTGGTTTGCTCTCTCAGGTCCAAAACACATTGCAGAAATAATCCAGTTTGAGACTGCTTTAACTGCCATGGCTCAGTGCGATGGAATCCTGGGAATTGTTAATTGTGGCACCAGAGCTCTGAAAGGGAAGGCTAAATGTCTTGCAAAACTACAGTTCCCAGGATTCCCTAGCATTCAGCCAGGGCAGCTAAAGCAGTCTCAAACTGGATTATTTCTGCAGTACGTTTTGGACCTCAGACCCATTGATCTACCTTTGGGGCAGTCTGGAAAAAGCCTTTGTTTGAGCTAGGATGTCTGCATCTACATTACAGAATTAATGCAGTTTGACACTGCTTTAACTTCCATGGCTCAATACTCTGGGATCCTGGGATCTGTTTGCGGGGACATTTTGCTTTCTTTGTTCAGAGAGCTCTGGTGCCATAACAAACTATCAATCCCAGGATTCCATAGGATGGAGCCATGACAATTAAAGCAGTGTCAAAATGCATTAATGGCAGTGTGGCAGCCAACCATGCTGGCTAAGGCTTCTGGGAGATAAAGATCCAAAACACACTGCAAAAATAATCTGGTTTGAGACCGCTTTAACTGCCCTGGATAAATGCTAGGGAATTCTGGGAACTGTAGTTGGTTCTGGGAACTGTAGTGGTCTCAAACCGGATTATTTTTGCAGTGTGGATGAAGCCAAAGTCAGCCAGATTGATGGTACTGACTTGGTTTACACAGTTTCCTAAGTCCTATGGCAAAATATAGCAAGACTTATGGAAAAACATCTCAGCAGATTTTTATTATTATTTTGTCCAACTTAACAGGAGAAGAAATTCCTCCTTCATAATATGATTTCGGACCCATTTCTGCAACGGAGACAACATTTTAAAGAAAACACATCTTCATGACTGAAAAATATTTTCAAACGTGACCCTCTTTCTCCCTGACCCTTTTTGCTTGGTATCTCTCTCTTTCTCTTTTTTCACAGATAAGCCCTTGGAGAACAGACTCCATGACTTCAAAACAAAGATAAAATAACTTGGGATGGGGGCAGGAAGGAGAGAAAGAAATCCATCTTGTCCACTCATGGGTTTTTGGGGCAGAGCCTTAATAAATTGCTTTTTGGGACTACAGCTCCTCAAATCCCCCAGTCAGTGGCGGGAATTTGGGGAGATTTAGATCCAAAACACACTGCAGAAATAATCCAGTTTGAGACTGCTTTAACTACCCTGGCTCAATGCTAGGGAATCCTGGGATCTGTAGTTTGGGGAGACATTTAGCCTTCTCTGTCAGAGAGCGCTGATGCTGCAACAAACTACAATCCAAAGAATTCCATAGTATTAAGCCAGGGCAGTTAAAGTGGTGTCAAACCGGATTATATCTGCAGTGTGAGTGAAACCTATGACTCTGGAGACCAGGGTTCAATTCCCAGCTGGGCCATGAAACTCACTGGCTGACCTTGGGCAAGTCACACTCTCTCAGCCTCAGGGGAAGAACGGCACACCTCCCCTGAACAAATCTTACCAAGAAAACCCCAAGAGAGGGGACTTTATACTTTGTTGTTGTTAATTGCTCTTAGTGTCGACAATGTTATGAATCTAGACCTCCAGACACACTATTATTATAATTAATAAATAAATAATAGCAATCAAAGCGGCTTACATGTTAAAAGAAGCCAATACAATACATAATAACAATACATGATAATATATCTTACCCACGCCCCCTTAAGAAAGAATTAAACTTTGCACAGTTAAAAATATAATCTGTTAAAATCTGTTAATAGCAAATTATGAATAGCTTGCTCAGGTCTTGCAAACCCTTTTTAGAACTATAGTTACAGGGGTTTAAATTGGTTGGTATAATTTTGTTTTTAATTTGTTATTGTGATTTTAATTGATATACAGTTTAATAACTTTTTTAAGGGGGGAGGGAAATATATCGTCTTATGTTGTATGCTTTTAATGCTGTAAACCGCCCGGATTGGTTCGCCAAAGGGCGGTATAAAAATAAATTTTATTTATTTATTATTTATTTATTATTATTAACCCAAGGCTTCTGGGATTGACTTTGCAAGACCTGAGCGGGCTATTCATAAGCCTCTTTAAGTGAGTTGATCTTTTTAAAATTGTATTGACTCGAAAGCACATAACAACAACAACAACAGTCCTCAAAGTAACTTTTCCAAGCTCTGCTTTGGCAGCTGGCCTGCCTTCCATTGGAACGAAGTGCTCTCTCGGTATCCGGACAGAACAGTGCGCTTAGTCTGGACAATGCCCAGCAGGAACTGGACAAACAGTGCCCTTGTTGCTGATGTTTGCAAGTTTGCGGAGTTTGTGCCAAGGCACCCTTCCCTACTTCTTTCTCCCTACCCTCCTCCCTGGAAACCACAAAAGCCTATATGTTAGGAGCTCCCTTGGGAAATGCATCAGGTAAAGGTGATTCATGGATAAGCTATGCAGCCTGTACTTGGCTTTCTGGTACAGACTGTTAATGTGCATTTGTGGAAGGCATTGCATTTAATTGAAGGAGAACAGGCCAGTGTGTGTTGTGAGCAAGAGAGGGGGAGGAACAGAGGGAGATCTATAAAGCCATCGCAGCTTTCTAGCTTTTTAATGCCAAACAGCAGAGCTTTCAAAAGGAACTCCTTGCAAGCAGCACTACTACTGTACTCCTTTGGCTTGACTAGGAATGCATCCACACTGCAGAAATAATACTCCTTTGGCGTGACTAGGAATGCATCCACATTGCAGAAATAATCCGATCTGAGATCACTTTATCTGCCCTGGCTCAATGCTATGACATTCTGGTGGCCCCAGAGCGGAGCAATTCTGTTAAACTGGATTATTTCTGCAGAGTGTTTTGGACCTAAATCTCCCCAAATCCCCACCACTGAATGGAGGATTTGAGGTGCTGTAGTCCAAAAAAGCAATTTATTAAGTCTCTGCCCCAAAAACAGCTCCGCTCTGGGGCCACCACAAACCTGAATTCCCAGAATGCCATAGCATTAAGCCAGGCTAGTTAAAGCGGTCTCAAACCAGATTATTTCTGCAGTGTGCTTTGGAACAATGTTACCTTTCAACAGTAGCGAAGGATGCCTAACAAAATTACTTTGTTGCTGCCAAATTACTTTGTGATTGATCACAGGGAGGCTCTCTCTGTTTGTTTTTTAAAGTTACTTTTAAATGGCATTTTAAGGCCATTTTTAAAATGGCATTTGGGTAGGAACTTAGAAATTTTTTATCCCATTCCCTTCTCAATCCTAAGTGTGTGTGTTTTTGAGTAACATGCAAACAAAGAGCAACATGGCTTGTCGCTTTTAAACTCCGTAATAAGTAATGGCAGTGGATTACTTTTTAAATGCTGTAATGAGCTGAAACTGGGAAGGGCAGCTGTGAAAGAATTGGGCTGCATCCACACTGCAGAAATAATCCA